TTTGGAAGGAGGGCGTCCTCTGAGGGACGCCACAGTCTGCAAGTTGAGGTGAAGGAAGTTGGCCGAGTAGCTGACCGAGGACGCAGCAGGCCTTCAGCTGTCACATTAGACAGATGGACAGTGAGAATGCCATACCGGTACCTGCTATTAGGAAATGCTAAGTGAGAAAGAGAAAAGCATCTAGATGTCCTGAGTCACTATTTCTGAAAAGTCAAGTGACAGATGATCTAACTTCTCAAATGTCTCCTCAAAACGCTTAACTAGACAAGCAAGCAGGTGATACGCTATGAACCCCAAGGGTGGGGCACAGGCCCCTTGGCATTGCTCTGGGAAAGATCAGATTAGACTTTTGTCTTACAGCATGTTTTCAGAGAAGGTAACCCAATAAAAGGTGTTTGAGACCTACTTTATTTATGGATGATAATATGGTTCCACAGTACAATAATAGGTTGTAATTCTTTAAAAAAAAAAATAAGACTACATTTTTTATGTTCATTTATGCTCTGGCATATAGTTAATGCCTTTTTAAAAACCTCATTGAAGTTTTCTGCTTTTAAAATGTGATATCCTATATGGGTTTTTTGGTGTGTTTTTTCAGTGAACGTTGTCATAACAAGTATTTATTCTTTAAGGCACATAATTTCAAAACACATAACTATGGACTCTATACATATAAAATTATATGTACACATACATGTATATAATTATGTGTGAACATAGACACGTGTAAAATATCTATCCATAAGATATATATGCATCTACATTTGTAGCTGAGTGGATTACCAAAAGCAAAACCATGCTTCCCAGCATGATTGTACTGAGGGCTCCTGATACAGCCTCAGTGCTTTTCTCCTTGAGTTGGCCACGCCCTCTCGGTCTCCTTACATCAGGCTTTATCCTTTATTTTGCACTAACCGGACGCAACCTTATTTCTGTTGACAACTCGGGCACATCGTATACCTACAGTCCTTAACATAACGCTTGGTCGTTTTTACACCCACCGATTAATTCCACTATCAGAAGCAAGTCTGCCCCCTCCGTTCTGTTGTCTTGGAGGTTAGATTTACAAGCTTGTCTGGAATTCCATTCCCTCAGTACCCAGTAAGATTCAGAGAGAGAGCATAGTGAGTCCAGAGTGCAGGTGCAGGTGCTACCTAATTTGGGGCTGGTTAGGATCTCTCTGGTTAAGTGTGGTGCTGCTCTGATCTGAGTGCATGTGTACGTGACATGTATTAATTAAATCTCCCAGGAGTCTGACCCTGAAAAGTGGCAGCTTGCTTTCACCTACTAGCCTCCAATGCTGACCCAGTTTTAGAATTGTTCCCTCATGATTTCCTGGGTTGGATTCCCTTAGGACTGCAATAACTTTTCTGTAAAATTCTCCCAACTCCACGTGGTCTTCCAAACCATGACATCATTTTCTTAGGTGAGGTAGCCACGATTTTACATTCATTAAATAAAACCTGTCTCAACTTTAGTTAAAATCTCTTTGTCACAAGTAGCTATTGGAAATGCTTATCAATAGATTAGGGGTCGGATAAAAAGGAAAACCATAAAGCAGCAAAAACAACAACAAAAGAGAAGCTCACCCAATATCATATTATATTTTCTTGGTTTGGGCTTGTTGGAAAACCATAGTATTTTAAAGGAGTCAGTTTCCCAGGTGGCATTTCAGCCTGCACTCTTCCATCTATACCTAAGCTGTCATCAGAAGCTGATGCAGATGTAGTGTTGATAAAGTGTGCAGTCATCATTTTAGAATCACATGCGTAAAGACATGAAACTTCGCCATTGGGTGTGTGGAGGTGACGGGAGAAATACTGGTTCCTGTGGCGCTGGCCTCCGCAGAGAGAAGCGGTGCTTGCCCACCAGCACCAGGCAATTCTGCTCAGTGCAGTGAGTTTCTTTACATTTTTATTTCAGGTTACGCTTTGCCCCCTCCCCCCACCTTATGTCTTATCAGGGTCACGTTTCTCATTTTGTGGTAGATCACTGTATAAAGCAGATCTGAAATGACAAGCCATCGGTGAAATCCTTTTTTGGAGGAGGGCAGTGGGCATCCCTTTTGTGATGGGAAGCAATTTATACGTGGGCCTCAAATTGTGTAAAATTACATAAAGGAAAATACTTTGGGGGTAGGGTAAGCATTTCAACTGAAAAGGAGCACCTTCTGCAAACCGCTATACAATTAGTCCATTGTTCTATACTTAAAAAAAATTACATAACTATCCAGCACTGGTGGGAGGGGGAGGAGCACTTGAAAGGTATATTGAAAAGGCCTTTGCTCAGCTTAAGTTGATAAAGAAATGCCAAGAATTCAAACTACCAGGCAGCTGCACTTCCACTTCTTTATTATTCCCCCCCCCCCCATTTATTTGAGGGAAAAATACATTGACTGCAGCGATTCCCTAGCGAGTGGTCACAGCGACTCAGTGCGTCCTGTAGGTTATGTGCTCCGGGACCGCCTGGCATTTCCTCCTGCCCGCCAGCTCCATGGCCTCGGGGAGGCAGGGGCAGGGGCAGGGGCAGGTCTGACTGCAAGGAAAACGCTCTCACCCATTGTGGAGAAGGTGGAGGAATTAAGTTCTGAGCAATGAGGCATCGAGAGTTAGTTACTGGGAAGAATTTCTTTCATTTTTTCAATCCTGGATGGATAATGAGGTATTTGAAGAGGGAAAAGGATAGAGACCTTCCAGCCACGGAGTGAGAGATGGGTCAGTTCTGGAAACTTAAGTAGGATGTGTGTGTGTGTGTGTGTGGTGCCATGGTACTTGGGGATACACGGGGAGAGGCTGTATCCTGGCCGGGTTCACACAGAGGAGCCGAGAAGGCAGTCAGCCACAGGAAGACTTCCTTCCACAGCCCGGGTCCTCCAATGGCCGCGTGCTCTGCTCTCAGGAAGGGGGAAAAGGAAGTGGGCTAGGAATGTTTTGAAACAGAATAAATTTGTCTCATTTTACATTGTTGGCCCCATGTCTCAGAACATTCAGTTCCCTCTGAATGGAGCACATGTAACTCCGCACTCATCTCCTTATAGGGTCCAGAATTTCTGTGACCTGAGGACTGAGTCATCAGACCAAGACCACGGAGCCATTTTGGTTCTGTTAGAGCTTTCTCGCCCCCGTGGTGCCAAACACTCAGTAGCAGAGCTGAAGTGAAAAGGGTGCCCATCAAGGGAGACAAAGCAAAGATGTGCTCCTAGTGTGTCACCAAAAAAATGACACCTTCTGTTGGCAACGTGGAAAATGACACTGGCGATGTCATTGAGGGTCAGGTGTTAAATCCAAGATTGCAAAGAGGTCTGACTTCTTTATTGTTACGAGAATGCTAATCATAATAGAAATAGAAAAATTCTACAGTATCTATAAATCGCCTTTCAGATATTCCTTTTCAAATAGGTAAAATGTTTCTCTATATAAAATCTCAGAATGATAGAAAGAGAATAGACCAGAAAGTGTGGCTGTGTGTTGAGGGCGATAGTACATAAAATGGGTTTTGCCACATACTGTGCGGTGTAGCTTGTGGAGGTACAAATGCATTTCTCAGCCCAGGAAGGTGGGAGAGGGTGCGTAGGAGTGGCTGCGAGTCTGTGTGAGAGAGAATACCTTGATATTCTTACCACAAGAATCTAAGAATCCAATTCCCTATTCCACTACAGTCTCCTTAAACCTCTTTGTGTGCTCCTGATTTTAGTATTCATGAAGTCCATATATGCATTAAAAAAATAAAATGGTGACCTAGTAAAACAAAAACTCGCCCATCCCTTTGACAGAAGATTTTCGGCTAATTTATGCAGGCCCCTTTGCACTTCAGCATTTTCCCCCACAGGTTGCTAGGCAACCGTCTGAGTTACTGCGCATGCCTTTTTTATGATAACTGTCATTACGATTATTTTTTAATTATACAACTGGGACTGTGGATTAAAACGGCACATTGTCACTCATTCTTTGCTGCTGCTTTTAGCATTCTGGCACATTGCTAAAATCGCCTCAGAAATTGACATGGCAGTGGTTTACGGTTATTTTTTTTTTTAAATATATTTCTGGCTTCACAAAGGAAAGCAAGATGGCATCGCAAGAAAAGCGAGGCTATTGTGAAAAATGGCTATACCATATCCCACCAGCTGTTACTGATCTGGATAAGCCACATCCGATAGTAGGCTTGTGAATCTAAATGACGTACATTTTCTTTTAACCATGTCTGTGTCTCATATTAAATGACTTCAGAAGCTTATATATCCCTTTATAGCCTTTTTCTCAAAAATTACAAAATGCTAAGCATTTGTTGCTTAATCTGCTTACAAATAATAAAGCTACTGTGCATTTGGGGGAGGGCACAGCACTCATTCCGGCAGCATTAGCGTCCACACTTGCTGATATGGTTGCCCTTTTCTGCCCAAATTGCTCCAGACCATACAGAAGTGCAGTTAGGCGAGATGAAGGGGTTCCTCCGGCGAATAGCAATAAAGGGTGTAAAGTGCTCTAAAAAGAACAGGACCAAAAAGGTAGACGTCCCTAGGTGCACATACAAAAGCACTTCCTTTGCCGTTCCAGAGTATGTTCAAACCTATTTTCTAAATATGAAATGATTTTGAAGACAAAGGAATATGGAAATAAAGTCTGGCGTGTGTGTGTGTGTGTGTGTGTGTGTGTGTGTGTGTGTGTGTTTGAGTTTTATCAACTCAATTATTATTCACTTAAAAAAAATGTTGGTTGAAAGGGGCATTTTAAACTTTCCCATCAAAACGAAGAGAGAATTGCTATGCCGGGTGTGTGGCAGAAGTGGGGACCTCATGGCACTTCCATGTGATTCTGAAGTTCGCAGGAGAGACCTCCATCTCCCGTAGAGTTGGGGGGTTTTCCTTGGCAGAAGGAGGCCCCATCCATGTGCGTGGGATGGCGGTGTGCTTTTCTGACACTTTGTGAAATGAAATAACAAGGGAGCCTTTCCTCAGGAGTGCGTGCTCTGTTACGTGTCTGTTTGTTTTCCCCACCCTACAGTTCAGGGCGACAGCTCAGTGAAGTCTTCATTCAGTTACCTTCAAGGAAAGAATTGCCAGAATACTATGAATTAATTAGGAAGCCGGTGGATTTCAAAAAAATAAAGGTAGATAACTTTTTTTTTTTTTTTTTACAAACTTTTTTATTTTAAAGAAGTAAATTCATTGAAATGATGATAGGACGTGAGCGGCGGCATCTTGTCTGATTGCCACTGACACCCACCCAGGGCCTTGTGCCTTCACATGCCTGTTGTTTAAACATCTTGCTGGGAGCTCGGTTTCATTGTATTGCATTTTATTGAAGAAGTTTCAGACTTTGCAGACCCATTGCTCTTTCCGCTTCCCACCCCTATGCTCCAATTCTCCCCCTCTCCCCCCTCCCCTAAGAAGTGGGTGGGAGGGAAGGCTCTCTGGACCGCACCCCTGGATTGTGTGGTCCCACACCCCAGGCAGAAGGGACCTGCAATGAATGCCGAGAAGACGAAGGGAAAATTGGGTTTTGTGAAGCAAGTAGTAACTTGAATTTTTTTTCTCCCTCCTCTTTTCCTCCATTTTATCCCAAATATTCCATCAGGAAAGGATTCGTAACCACAAGTACCGGAGCCTGGGCGACCTGGAGAAAGACGTCATGCTGCTCTGCCACAACGCACAGACCTTCAACCTGGAGGGCTCCCAGGTCTGTGTGCGCCGCCGCCGCCGCCTGAAACACTCCCCCCACCCTCCCCGTGTGCCTTTAAGTAAAACGTGGCCTTCTCTACACTGGCACTGGCACCGTTGCTACTCCCCTGGCAGAAGGAAAATAAAAAAGCAAAAGCCTGAATTCCATGCCCCTTCATACGCAAAATTGAGGCTTTGGCATTGAGGCTCTTCTGTACCATAGCTGCTCCAGCTCCTGCTCAGGCTTCGCTCTCCTTAGAGGAGGAAGTCCAGTCGGTCACTCCATGTCATGCTTGCAGCAGGAGGTCCAGCCTGCGCTTGTACAGATTGTGCATTTGATTGCTTTTTTCTGATTGTAACCTTGCACCGGGAGTTGAAATTACTATGATTTAAAACCAAGAATACACACACACACACACACACACACTCTCTCTCTCTGCCATAAGTGCTTACCAGAATTTCCTTTTCTTCAGGCCATTTGCAATTCTCTTTACTTTTCCATCCACAGTGAACAAGCTTAACAGTATAGAAGGGATAGTGAGTTTATGAAAGATAACTAGGGGGAGGACACTTTCACTTTAATTCCACTTCAGTTCCTCTCACCTTTTGTGGGAGCCCCTGTTTTCCTGTGTGTTTTTCTGGCCTAATGCTCCTCATACCCATGAAGAGAGGCCCGTGTGTCTGCCAGCCAGTGCACCGTCAGCCACCACTGAATTCCTTAGGCCACTTTCCGGGTCTGGCTTCTTGACCTTCATGTCAGTTCCAGTCACTAACATGGAGAACACGGGACTCCTCAGACTGTGCCTTGAGCAGGCTGTACGTGTCTCGGTTAGTAGCAGTAAACAGGAGTACTGTTTGGACCAAAACAGGTCCTAAAAGCAAACCTTGTGTGTTCAAGATACTTTTCAAAGACAGCTGAGATGAAAACCAGGACACAGAGGGTAAATACATGAGTCAACCAGGAAGTCTTTCTGCGAGTGACCATTTACAGTCTCGGGATAGGTTTTGGGCCCCACTCACTGTCTCACTCCTGCCATGGCTTGAGACTGGCTTCCCTGCCAGCCCACCCTGCGTGTGAATGGATCTTTTTCTGACCACCCTCTTATCCTGTCCGTCTACTGCCCAAGCTCTGTGGTTCCCTGGGTGCTGTTGAATTCTCCAATACATTTCATCTCCATGGGCTGTTTTCTGAAGTTGTGCCCTCCCCTAGCTCTTCAGCCTCATTTTCTATGAAGCGAGGAACTAACTGAACAACTTATGGTCTAGTCAGACTGGTCCCTTAAACACCAGCTCCCCGGGATGTGCACACAGTTGTGAGAGACACTGCAGGGAGCCTGTGTACCCCCTCCCACCTTCACAAGGTGTGACGTGCTGTGTGCCATAGTCCAGTGTCATGACCCGAAAGTTGACAGAGGTTCAGCCCCAGGTGCGGTTTTTTTTTTTTTTTTTTTTTTTCTTGTCTTACCTCTATCACTTGCTCTCCTTTCTCACCCCCAATGGAATCCTCTCGCCTTTAAGATCTAGCTCATCTGTGATGTCTCCAGCCCAGCGCTGACCCCTCAGGCCTGTGTCCTGTTGGGCTGTATTACTGGGGCTCACCACCAGTGGCCGGGTGTGCGGCTCATCTTTACAGTAAAGGAATACAGCCCTACAGAGCAGCGGTCATTTTTTTCCTTTTTAATTTTTGGCTTCATTTTAACAATTTTTAAGTGTGTAGCCTCTAGTGTTCAGTATATTCTCATTGTCATGCAACAGATCTTCCTCACTCTCGTCTTGTAAAACGGAAAAAACTCTTGTTCCCATTAAACAACAGCTCCCCTCTTCCCCCTCCCCCTGGAAACCACCGTTCTTTCTATTTCTATGACTTGGAGTATTTTGAGATACCTCCTAGATGGAATCACTGAGTATTTGTCCGTTTGTAATGGGCTTATTTTACTTAGTGTAATGTCCTAGGATTCATCTATGTTGTAGCATGTGGCAGGATTTTCTTCCTTTTTAAAGCTGAATAATATCCCATTATGTGCATATACCTCATTTTATCTATTCTTAGTGGACATTTGGTTTGTTTGTACTGCTTGGCTATTGTGAATAACAGTGCTGTAATGAACATGGGTGTGCAAATCTCTCTCCAAGTCCTTGCTTCCAATTCTTTCGGCTGTATACCTATAAGTGGGATTGCTAGATATATGATTTTAAATATTTTTTAAATTTAAAAAAAAAATTTAAAATTTTTAAATTTTTAGGAGGAAAAAAAAGGAACACTTCAGAACTTTATAGTCTCAGCAACTACAGGGCTATGCTAAGGTATTTTTAATACTAAAAATAAAGTATTGATTGGAATAGTATTGGCTGGTACTGATAAGCTCAGGAATAAAGAATATCTTCCATTTCGTTAGGGGGATTGCATTTTAAAGAAGGTTGCTTTGCCACACTATTTGATAGACCAATTCAAATAAAAGTTTTTTAAATTACTTTTGTCAAAAATGTGAAGATTGGTTACAGAAGTCCATCCTTCTCTCCCAGGTGCGGGCCTGTACACACAAACACAGAAATACACACACATACACACTAAAATTATTTCAACTGCATTTGGACTTTTTTCTCTAAGAACATGTGTGTTTGTATTAGACCTGGGCTTTTTCCTGTTTGACTGTCCTGTAGGCATAAGAGCTGGCACTGATGTTTCTAGTAAAATCCACGTAAAATGAGGCTGGCATGTTTCAAGAGAAGCAGTGCCCGCTGCGACCGTGAGTCTTGGGCCCTCAGCTTGTCGTTCCTAACAGATGCCACTCTGCCCCTTTAGATCTACGAAGACTCCATTGTCTTACAGTCGGTGTTTAAGAGCGCGCGGCAGAAAATTGCCAAAGAGGAGGAGAGCGAGGACGACAGCAACGAAGAGGAGGAGGAGGAAGACGAAGAGGAATCTGAGTCGGAAGGTAAGCTCGGGCGTCAGGTTCTTCTGCCTCTGTAGAACGCACTAGAAACACTGACCCTCCGGCCCCTGTGCAGTCTGCTGACCTGGGACTCGGGGAGGAACAGGCAGGAGGCACTGACCACAGTGTTGACGGAAAACGTCTATTGCACTGGTTTGCACAACCTCCAGTGAGCATTCGCCACTGAGTGTGGGGGCGCGCATTACCTCCTTTTCCAGAGGAGAGCACTGAGCTTGAGCTGGCTCAAGGCGCTCGCTGTCTGAGGCAGCCCGGCAGGGACATGGCAGAACAGAGCCGGAACGCAGCTGGCTCAAGGCGCTCGCTGTCTGAGGCAGCCCGGCAAGGACATGGCAGAACAGAGTCAACTTGTCTCCAACTTCTGATTTTTTTAGTGCCTGTTTTTTCTACACCTAAGTATTTTGTTCATAAGTAGAGCACACTGTTTTATAGCATGGTTTTTCTTTTATTGGGGACATTTTCCCACAGCAATCAGTGTGGTTGTGTTTTTTGTTGTTGTTGGTTTTTTAACAGCAATTTATATTACCACTTATTAATGAATGTACCAAAATATATTACTCTAAAGAATGCTGCCCTAAACATTCTTACCCATAAATCATTGCAAACATCCGATGCTTACATGTTACTACACAGCTGGAGTCCACTTCCTTGACGGCGGTCTGTTTCCCATATCCAGTATCAGCCTTCCGAGTGATACTGCCTTTTATTTACTCAACCATTTTCCATTTTATACGGTTCTCACCCAGTGCTTATATCCCTGCACTTGATGAATAAACCCACATTATCTTAGCTAGGTATCTCATCTGTTTTCAAAGAGCTGCCGCCCAGCCCATCTATCAGTTTTACTTCTCCAGTCTCTCTCGAGGCTTGGCGTGTTAACTAGCTGCTGCTGTTATTACAAGTTCCCACGAACTCTGTGGCTTAATAAAACAGCTGATGATCTCCTAGCTCTATCCGGCACAGGCGCGGTGTGGGCAGTCTTTCCTCCTTTGTCATAAATTAACTGACCATATATGGGAGGTTTATTGCTGGGCTCTCTATTCTGTTCCAGTAATTTCTGTGTCACTGTTTTGATTACAATAACTTTGTCATATAGTTTGAAGTTAGGGAACGTAGTACCTCCAACTTTGTCCTTCTTTCGTAAGATTGCTCTTTGGCTACTGATGGTCTTTTGTGTTTCCATAAATATTTTAGGATTATTTGTTTTATTTCTGTAAAAAATGCCACTGGGATTTTGATAGGGATTGCACTGAATCTGTAGATTGCTTGCTTTGGGCAGTATGGACATTCTAATGTTACTCCTTTCCATTTAAAGAGCATGAACTATGCCTCCCTGTATTAGCACCTTCTTCAGTGTGTGATTTTCAGTGTAAAGGTCTTCCTCCTTGGTTAAACGTATTCCTCCGTGTCTTCTTCTTCTTGAGACGCACCAAACACAAGATTCTAACAAAACTGGCTTGAATGAGAGATCCACATTCTCAGGGACTTCATCATCACGTCCTAAAAGGGGTGTTCTGTGGGACAGATTTTCTTTATCCTTGGGGATACACACCTGTGTTTATGCTATAGCCCATTGAGCACCTCTAAGGGCTTTTGTTCCCATCCTCCGAATAGCCCTGTGAGTGGGGACTTGGCCACATCCCTGCGGGCTAGTGTAGAAAACCGTTGTTAGAAGCTGGCCGTATGAATGTGTGCACCAGACTGCCCCCAAATTCTGCGAATGTGTGCACCAGACTGCCCCCAAATTCTGCCAAGATCTGCCCGCAAAGGGCTTCATGGCACTTAGAGGGAAAAAGCTGGGAACTTTAGCACCCATCCCTAGGGGACTGGTTAAAAATCACAGTGTACACATAAGGTGGACATTTTCCAGGTTGGTCCATAGAAATGCCCCTCAGCTGTGAGGAAGAAAGCACGGTGTGGAAATGAGCATACAACCTCCCCTTTGGGACAGGGTATAAAGGATGTGTGTGTACACACACAGGGGTGGCTATAGGTGCAGGGATGGATGTGAAATTCTTTTTCTGGCAATAATCACCAGAACGAGAACAATAGGCAGAGAGATGGGGGAAGGAAGCTTTCATGTTCACTTGCTTGAGCGCTTTGTTTTTACTTTCCATTTTGAACCTTTCTATGCCGTCAAAAGGAAATTCAAATAGTTGGGTTTTCTTTCTTAAATGTCAAAGTTCTCTGTCTACACCACCCCCTCCACAAAGTTGAAGGTCCTCTGCCTATCCCCGGTCCCTCCTATGGCCTGTGTACCCTCAAGGTCTGTGGTGTGTGTGCTGAGGCATGTTTGCAAGTGGAAGGGATGCGAACTAGACAGGATGACAGAAACCAGGTAGAAACCACGAGTGACCTGATACTCCTGCACCTTCGGTTTGCCACCTTCCTGCACAGAGGAGTTCCCTGCGACTCCTCATTGCTGTCTCTTTTGTTTCCACTGCAGCAAAGTCTGTTAAGGTGAAGATCAAGCTCAATAAAAAAGACGAGAAAGGTCGGGACAAGGGAAAAGGCAAGAAAAGGCCAAATCGAGGAAAAGCCAAACCTGTGGTGAGCGACTTCGACAGCGACGAGGAGCAGGATGAGAACGTAAGTGGAGCTGGGGCCGCGGCCTCTCCACTGAGGGCTCCTCTGACACTCCCCTGTCCTTCCCGGCCTCCTCTCTTTATTACCTGGAAATGAAAACGTCAGGATTGGGTGAGATTTCATTTCTGATGGATGTGCACGGCGCTGCCTGCTTACAGAACGAGGAATTTGGGTCTTTGTTTATTGCTTTTTTAATAGTCTTCAAAAATGAAAAACTCTAAATCAAGTTTTCTTCCTCCCTTCCTTCTCTTCCCACTGCTTACTTACAGATAGAGTTTTCTCCAGGGCCAGTTAACATTTTACCTCCTGACCCTCAGCATCGTGCCTGGGCAATGTATAGATGGAATAAGGATTAGATGAAAGAGTAAGAAAAAAATTAGGATGTCGGAGTGCTGTGTTTGAGTTGCTTTTTAAAACACTGCAAAAAAAAAAAAAAAAAAAACCCAAAAAACAAAACAAAAAAACCAAACAGGTGAATTTTTCAGTATCTAGAAGTGTTATTGTTAATAATTTAAAAATTCAGACAGCATTTATGGAGCCTGAAAATAAGGACCTTTCTATTTGGAACTACCACACATCCAAAACGGAAACCATCCCCGCACCCTACATTTCAAATTTAATTAAAAAAAATCAGTTTGCAATTAATGTAATAAAAATAAATGCATTACAGTTCGGGTGTTCTTGAATATTTTCACCTGAAAATGCTCGGGAAAGATGATTTTAAAGTTGGACAGGGCTGCCACTTAGGGAAAACATTTTCTTTTTATGGACGCGCATGGTGTGTGGGGAAGGTCCGCTGCTTGCGTCTACAGACGCTTAAGGCATGCAGTGGGCTAATGCTTCTGTTAGCACCGTGAGCTAGATGCTACATAAATCCTTGCTTAGGGTATGTGTTTCGCTCCAGGTGAGGTAAGTAGATAGCAGAGGCTGAATTCAGGTGCAAATAGCTGGACCCCCTGGGCGGCCAGGGGGCAGGGACTTGTCGGAGCTCGGCACGCTTTGCAGAGGGCCTCAGGTTCCCACCCTGACTGCTTTCTCTCCGGAACATTCATTTTCCATTCCATTTAGAGTACTGTGCTTCCTTCAGTAGATACACCAGGGAGTAGACAGCAAATGCGTGGTCCTTTTTCCTCCCGTGAATGTTCTAAAACATAACCTTGCAGGCCAAAGCGGGAGAGGGAAAGACTGGCACAGAGGGCGGGTGTCGTGTTAGTCTTTCAGCATCGAGGCCTCGGTGGGGTGTTCTCATCCTCCCGTCGAACGGAGAGGCGTGGGCATTAGCTTTCCGACACGTCATTCGCTTTCCCCACGGCCTCGTGATGGGTCCTGTCTTCTTTTCCTTGTATGTAACTTTGTTCCATTTTACCTTCCTTCGTCTCAGGAACAGTCAGAAGCAAGCGGGACTGATGACGAGTGATGGATACGGCGGACCTTGTCCCAATGAATTCCTTCCTCCCCTCTCTCACTTCGACCCAGTGAGTTCGTTCGTGGTATGGGCACTGGGCTGTTTCTATATCATCCTCATCACCTACACACTAGCTTTAGGATAGTGCCAGACAAACATATGCTATCATGGTGTAAAAAAAAACGCACACACAAATATTTGTAACATATTGTGACCAAACGGGCCTCAAAGATTCAAAGATTAAAACCAACAAAAAAAAAAGCTTTTGATGGAAAATATGTGGGTGGATAGTATATTTCTATGGGTGGGTCTAATTTGGTAATGGTCTGATGGTGCCTGGTTTTATCACCTGCTCTGATGAGAAGATTTTTGTCTTTTTGTAGCACTGATAACCAGGAGAAGTCATTCAGAGTCACTGGTTATTTTATTTTTCATCAGGCAATTTTCACGATTTTTATTTGTTTGGTTTCTTTTTTTTTTTTTTTACACTGTGGTACATATAAGCAACTTTAATAGGTGATTAATGTACAGTAGTTAGACTTCACCTGCATAGACATTTTTCCATTTTATGCTCTATGACCTAAAAAATAAAACTGCTTTTTGAATTGTATAAGATTTATGTCTACTGTAAACATTGCTTTTTTTTTTTTTTTTGCTCTTGATTTAAAAGGTTCTGTTGAAAATGCTATTGAATATTGCAATCTATATAGTGCATTGGATGGCTTTTTTTTTTTTTTTTTTTTTTTTTTTTTTTTTTTTTTTTGTCACCCTGATCTCCTATGTTACCAATGTGTATTGTCTCCTCCCTAAAGTGTACTTACTCTTTGCTTTCTTTGCACAATGTCTTTGGTTGCAAGTCATAAGCCTGAGGCACACAATGTCTTTGGTTGCAAGTCATAAGCCTGAGGCAAATAAAATTCCAGTAATTTCCAAGATTTTGGTAGTGGTGCTTTCCTAATAAACAGATAACTTAGCTCAACAAGTGTTGCTGCTTGTTTTTGAGTTCCAGAGCATTGAAACTCTGGTGCCTGGGTGGCAGGCTCCTGCCACTGAGCATTTGTGTGTGTTGGGGGCGTGGTACAGAGAGAGCCATTCTGCTTCAATGAACCAAGTATGTCACAGGGAGAGGAGTCTGTTGCTTGGGTGACATGCACAGTGATGGAAGTGCTGCTGTGGACTAAGGCCCCCTCTCCAGTCTTCCCCAATGGTTACTAGCCAGAAAACCTTCCTTTAATTTACTCCAAGTCAATAAAAAGTATTTTCTAGGAACTTTAAAAAGTATTTTCTAGGAACACATTTTTTTGGTCTATAATAATAGAGTAACACATTTTTTTTGGTCTATAATAATAGAGTAATATGCTAATTACACCAGAAGACTCCTGTGCCGGAAGAAAGGCCTATTCTTGCACGAATTTCATGCACCTTGCCTCTAGTAATAAAATAAATGTACGTGGGCATTGTAGAAAACATGGGCAGCAGGAAAAGGACAAAGAAATCTTACCTCCCAGAGAAAAGTGCTTGAGACTGCCAGTGTCTGGTGTGCATAGGAAAAGCTTGGAAATCATCTCTCCCATTCACACAACAAGAAGAAAGAAAGCTGAACAAACTGAAAATCAGCAGCTCTTCGTAGGTCAAACCACTGAGGTCATGGGGCAAACCAGCTGCCCCCAAAACTGAAGACGTACAGAGGCAGACGCAGAGAATCTCAACCTACACTAAGCAGAAGACCAGGAAAACCTCCTCCAATCATGAACTGCTGGAGACTGGGGTGGACAAGTTTGAGAGAAAACCTCCAGGGAGCGCCAATCTTAGGAGGGGGGGAAATCTCATAGTTTTAGCAGAAAGAGTGGGAAGGAGCCATTTAAAAATATGCCCAGGATCTTTTGTCCTCAACGGAAGTTTTCCCCAGAGCCTAACTGACTTGAACAAGGGAAATAAACACCCAACTCCAATATTCTCTAACCCAGTGGTCAGCAAACTACGGCTCGCGAGCCACGAGTTTGCTGCTCTGTTGACTAATGAGTTTGTTGACCACTGGATGGGGGCTTAATCACAAGGAATAGCAACAGCCTCTAATTATTGGAATCGAGAGTCTAGGTCAGTGGTCGGCAAACTCAGTCAACAGAGCGGCAAACAGCTGCTTGCAAGCTACAGTTTGCCGACCACTGCTCCAACCTTTCCGTCTCTCATAAGTAGGGGGGGGAAAACAGCTGAGTACTTGTTCCAGGTCATAGCTCGGGGTTACAGGCTCACTGAAAGACTGAGACCTAGTCCTGGGCTATAGAGCATCTCCCCCTACCTGGCCTCTCCCTTCCCCTCACGCCACCTCAGCAGGCGTCAGTACAGCACCAAGGTAATACAATGGAGAGAACACGCATCTCAGGTCTCATTTGCTAATTCTCTGGGAAAACAAAGACAAAGGACAGGAAAACAAGGACAGCAAAGGAAACTTGAGCCCCTGACACTTAAGCTCAGTAAACAGAGAACACAGCCAAACGTAAAGCCTCGGCACTAGCACATCTCAATCCTCTAACTAGTACACTGTGTCCCATTCGCAACAAGAAATCACAAGGCAAACTAAAAGACAATGCGTTTTGAAGAGACGGAGCAAGCACAGCTATGGCAGACATCAGGATTATCAGACAGAATTTGAAACAACTGATTAATATGCTAGGGACTCTGCTTAAAAAAAAAAAAAAAAAAAAAGACGCAAGAACCAGGTGGGTAATAAATGCAGAGAGATGGAAACTCAAAAGAATCAAAGGAAATTACAGAAATCAAAAATGCCCTAACAGAAATCAAGAATGCCTTTGGAAGTCTTATTAGAAAGAATCAGTGAGTTTGAATAAATGTCGATAGGAACTGCCCAAACTGAAATCTAAGGAGATGAAAAAGGCTGCCAGGCACTGGGGGACAATGGTGGAAGTGTAACGGGCACGATAAGAATCCTGGAAGGAGGAGGAAAGGGTACCAAAGTAATATTCGTGAACACTAAGCTTGATAAATACAAAAAATATTCATATAAGCATATTATATCCAAATTGCAGAAAATCAAACACTCAGAAAAAATACTGAACAAGGAAAAAAAGCCAGAGAAGAAAAATACCAAGTAGAGTAAGGATAAGAACTACATCTGATGTCTCAGAAACCAGCAAGCAAGAAGAGTGGACAATTTAAAGTGTTAAGAAAAAAGAAAAAGAAAACACCAACCAGGAGTTCTGTACTCTGAAATGATTCTTTAAAAGCAAAAAAGAAGTATGTTCTCAGACAAAAATTGAGGGATTAGATCTGTAAGAAATGTTAAAAATTCTTTAGAGAAAAAGGTAAATTTTATATGTTCTAAAACATGGATCTACATGAAGAAAGGAAGAATGTTAGGGAAGACATGAAGGAAAAAAACTTGATTAGTCTTATTCTTAATTGATCAGACAGGTAAATTTTGTTTAAAAAAGTAACTTATTCCACGATTATAGCTTATGGATAGTTAAAATGAAAGACAACTCTATTATAAAGGATGGGAGGGGAAGTGGGATCCTATGTTAGAGGTACTTATACTACCTGTGTGGTGGTGGTAGTGTTACATGATTACATTAATTATAAATCTATATATATTGCTAACTCAAGGATAGCCACTAAAAAAGATACAGTTTTAAAAATATATAATTGAGTGCTAGCTGATTTGGCCCAATAGATAAGAGTGTCATCCTGCGGACTGAAGGGTCTCTGGTTTTATTCCTGTCAAAAGCACATGTCCGGGTTGTGGGATCAATTCCCAGGAGTGGGCATGTATGAGGCAGCTGATAAATGAATCTCTCTCCTCCCTGATATTTCTTCCTCTCAATAAAAATATATTTTTCTTCTAAAAAGTGGAATTGAAAATCTAAGGGGGGCGGGGTGTATGGAATGGAATCATACAAAATACTTCAAGCCTGAGGAGGCTGGGGAGGGGGAGGCAGGGAGAAGTGTAAGACAAAAGAACAAGGACAAAAAAAAATAGGAAACAGCAATTAAAATAGCTATCAATCCAAATATATCAACAATCACTTGAAGCATCAGTAGTTTATATACACCAATTAAAAGACAGATACCAGAGTGTGGTCGCATGTGAAAAGGGCTTCGTGAGTCAGCCAAGCCCCCTTAACACACACACAAACACACACACACACACACACACACACACCCGTCCTTCAGCTTTGTGAATGGCGAAGGCTGCTCTGGATGTTCCAAGGAGGCAGAGTTGGCAGAACCCCACGGCCCCATGGCCTGCTGCTCCACCAGCCCCTTTGAGCTGGTGGGAATGTCAAACACAGTTCTTCTCCACCTCTGGCCTCCCAAGGAATTCCCCCAGCCTGGTGAGAGGCCCCTACAACAGCCTAACATTGCCTCTGCGTGAAGGTTAAGGGTTTGTTGTTGGCTAAGGTTTAACAGAAACACCACGATTTTTCCATTTTTGAATAGGTTGGTATATTGAAGACTTGGAGTGAAATCTTCCAAAGAGAAACAGCTGATAGTAATAATTCACATGTAAATAATTCCAGGGAATTCATATTCACGCCAGCATTTTTTTTTAAGGCAGGCTGATGTGGAGAAACAATAGAATTCCATTTCTGAGCTTCCAATAAGGAGCACAGGCCCCACAGAAAAAGACTACCTTCAGAAAGGGACCGGGAGGCATGATGGGGTTCCTCTGTCCCATGTCCCATGTCGTCAAGGTGTCTGGGTCCGAGCTTGCTTTCCCTCCGTTTGAATCAGGCCGCATGACCTTACAGAATTCCTTTGGAGCCCCTACCCTACAGTCATTTCTTGAGAACCCACCTACCTAATAAACAACCTAAATGGGGAGAGTTGCCCAAGTGTTGGATAGCAGGTACCTTTTCTTTAAAAGTCTAGTCCCCGTCTTCAGCCCAGAATGCTCCTCAATGACCTTCCTTTATAGAATGCACTGAGGGCATCCCATGCCACGTCTGAGCTCGGTGCTGGGGAAAATACCAAGGAGAGGACCTGCTCACGTC